GAAATGTCCTGATGTCCCATATCTTAAGAACAAAAGCATTCTTAGTTTAGGTTTCACTTTAAAGATAATATACAGGCCTGGCACAACGGCTCACACATGTCTGTAATCCCAACCCTTTGGGAATCTGAGGCGGGCAGATCACTTGAGCTCAGGAGTTGTAGACCAGCCTGGGTAACATGACAAAACCCTGTCTCTACCAAAAATACAAATATTAGCCCAGCATGGTGATGCATGCCTGTAGTCCCAGCTACTGGTGAGGCTGAGGTGGAAGAATCACTACAGCCCAGGAGGCAGAGACTGCAGTGAGCCGAGATGGCATCACTGCACTCCAGCCTGGGTAACAGAACAAGACTCTGACTCAAAAAAAGAAAAAAAAAAAAGGAAAGATAATATAGATTATCGCAGAAGATCATAGTTACACAAAGATTAACAATCCTTTGTTACAAGCCCTTGTAGGACAGCACATCACCCCCATCATGTGCTCTCCATTTTTTTTTCAGTATATTATATTATGTATAACCAAGCCTTGTACCTAAAGAGGATGTGTTCCTCCTCTTGCTTTGTCTGCTCTTGACTGTCCTGCTCTGTCTATGGAGTTACCATTCTTACTATTTACTTCTTAATAAACTTGCTTTCATTTTATTCTGTGGACTCACCCCGAATTCTCTCTTGTCTGAGATCCCAGAACCCTCTCTTGGGGTCTGGATCGAGACACCTTTTTGGTAACACTATTACTTAACACTGATGAACTTGATTCATTTTTGTCAAGGAGAATATTTTGATGTTCTTGAGAATGACTCAGGAAAACATTACTTGAGGTTATTAAATTCACTTTTGATTTATTAATGTGACAGATTCAAAAACCTATTTCTTCTTAAGCTTTTAACTTATGAATCAAATTATCAATTTATAAATCTGACAAATTTTAAGTTATTTTTATGAGACCTTTGATTTATATTTGGTCTCATTTACAATTTTAGTTAAATTGTCCATTTGACAAAACTTCCCAAGAATGTAATATGAGTTCTAAGTCTAGCAAATTAAATATGTATACATACTTATACATATAAGTATGTATAAAATTGAATCTTAACTTATTTTAAGGGTTAAAATACCATTTATAATATTGCCTTATACCTTTATAACATTGCCTTATACCTTTCAACTTGAAATTGCAAGCCTGAATAAATGAGGCATTTTATACTGGAATCATAAAATTAACCTGTAAGATATTAAATATACCAAACTTCTTAAAACATACAACAGTAAAGTATATCAACAACAAACAACTTATTCTCAAACCTACTGCAAAAATATTATTGATATGATTTTTGTCTGCTTCATTATCTTACTATATATTTCTTAATAGAATTATGCTGTATTTTGTCATGGAAGGACTATAATTTCTGTGTATATTAAAAGGATAGTCTAGTGAATATATTTGTCAGAATTTGGTCTATGTCTTACATTTATTATAAGATACCACTTACAATAAACTGACATCAAGGCTATTGGAAATTGGTGGAGGGAGGTGGACCCCGCCTACCTTTAATTGCTAGAAGCTACCAATATTTACAAAAATATTCTGAAAATTGCTGGTAAAATTCAGTTGTCTTGCAACACTAACATTGTCCCTTAGCTCCTATCATGGTGTCTGGCACATCACAGAGCTTCAATAAATAATTGTTGGATAAATCAGAGCTTAAATTGGTTAATACAGATTACAGCCTTGCTAATTGTTCTGCTACTACATACTCTGGGTTCCCCTTTTCTAGTTTCCAATAATTGCCTCATTGCCTCTGCAGCCTCCTCTAATGTTGTTTTCGGTACTTCTCCAGTCTTTATTAACAGTCTCCTCACTGCTTTTCCAGGCTCCTTCAAAAGTCTCCTTGCATCCTTTCATTTTCTGTCCATCACCTAGTTCAAGAACCATTGCTGTGTATTTTAAAGTTTTTGTTATGACTGAACTCCACACCCAGTACTAATTTCTGTCTGAGTTTTCTGTTGCAGAAGATCAAACTCTCCCCACAACTAAAGATTGTGAGTCACAGAAGATAATCAAATCACATGTTGGCTATTGTTCATCATTCTTTTGAATCCAAATGTATTTCATTTTATGCATTAAATGTTATTCTGGGAGTCCATACACTTAACTAGAGTGCCAACCGAGTCTACAGCACAAACATGGCTGAGAATCCTTGACCTAGGTAATGGTGAAGAGACAGGATGGAAAAAATCACGGCCAATTAATGACCTTGTGGAGCAGAACTAGCCAGCAGATTTGATCCAATAACCTCAGGATTACATATAAGAAAACTAAATAATTACATTTTAAGTCATTGTCTGTTGGCGTATCTTCTATGATAGTTTACCTTAAGAAATACACGGGAAGCCTGGTCAACATAGCAATACTCTGTCTCTACCAAAAATTTGAAAATTAGCTGGGCATGGTAGCATGCACCTGTAGTCCTAGCTAATTGGGAGGCTGAGGCAGGAGGATTGCTTGAGCCCAGAGGTTTGAGGCTTCAATGAAGCTGTGGTCCCACCACTGCACTCTAGCCTGGGTGACAAAGGGAAGTCCTATCTCTAAAAAAAACCTCCTGGGCTCAACAGATTTTCCCATCTGAGCCTCACCAGTAGCTGGGACCACAGGTGCAAACCACCACACCTGGGTCATTTTTATATTTTTCATGGAGGCAGGATTTCACCATGTTGCCCAGGCTGGTCTTGAACTCCTGGTCTCAAGTGATCCACCCACCTCAGCCTCCCAAAGTGCTGGGATTATAGGCATGAACCACTGTACCTGGCCTAAAAAAATTTTATTTTATTAAAAGAAGAAAAGAAAAGAAGTTTGCTCTGAATTCTTAGATCATTTCAGTGTGCTTATTAAAAATCCACAAACCTAAAGATACCTACAATACTGGCAGAAGTTCAGGACCTCTTTATCTGGATGTTCATTTGCATCCTTTAAAACAAAAGAAAAAAGAGAAGAAATTGTATGGTGAGACCTAGTATTTGAAGAGATAATAAATAGGATATTCTAGAATAAAAGAATGTCATGAATCTTGAAAATCATAGTGTACACCAAAGTTTAAAATGAAATAATCTGCACCTAGACCCATCACAGTGAAAGCAAAAATAGATTATCTTAAAAGTAAACAGACCGGGCAAGGTGGTTCATGCCTGTAATCTCAGCACTTTGGGAGGCCGAGGCAGGGAGATCACCTGAGGTCAGGAGTTCGAGACCAGCCTGACCAAAATGGTGAACCCCCCCCACCCAACTCTATTGAAAATACAAAAAATTAGTCGGGCGTGGTGGCAGGCACCTGTAATCCTAGCTACTCTGGAGACTGAGGCAGGAGAATCCCTTGAAACCAGGAGGTGGATGTTGCAGTGAGCCGAGGTCATGCCATTGCACTCCGGCCTGGGCAATAAGAGTGAAACTCTGTCTCAAGAAAAATAAGTAAAAAAGATATTCAATGTAGCTGAAAAAATTCTCTCTAAATATTGATATAGAATAATCTTTTTCTTAAACTTCTACAATTGTTTATTTCTCATGCCATTTAATCACATAGCAATCAAAATTGCAAATGTATCTTTTTTCTCTCTCTCTCTCTCTCTCTCGCTTTTAACTATAGAGATAGGGTCCCCAGGCCAGCCTCAAACCCCTGACCTCAAGCAATTCTCCTGTCTCTGTTGCCCAAAGTGTTAGGACTACAGGTGGGAGCTATGACGCCTGGTCTCATTTTAGGCTTAATAATAAACCTATGTACTGTGTATTTCTTTTTGTGGGGGAAGGAGGCAGGGGTGGAAAGTTTCTGTCACCCAGGCTGGAGTGCAGTGGCATGATCATGGTTCATTGCAGCCTCTTACTTCTGAGCTCATTCCTGCCTCAGCCTCCTAAATAGCTAAGACTACAGGCACACACCACCACACACAGCTAATTTTTAAATTT